CATGCCCTGTTAAAGTTCACCAACTTGTTCCACTTTCATGAGCAGAAACTATAGGTTAAGTCATCTGGAACTGAAGGCTGTCTGGAAAATTTACTTGCAGAAAAAAAGTAAACAGAACAGAAGAAAGGACTCAAATACTGATGATAACCTGTTAATAATAAAAAACAAGCCTACAATTCACAAAGTTTATTTGGGAAATCAATGAGTGATGAAAACCACAGAATTTATATGCGCTTTCCTATGAGAGAAGGCGACTCAAGTGCCAGAAAGTATCTAGAATTAGCAGCAGAATATGCTACAAAGCTACCAAGCACAGAATACAGATTGTAACTATTAACATTGCCGTTTGCTACTCTGGAATACAGGAATCTTGGAGAATCACTGAGGCACTTGCTGGGTTTTACCCTGTAATATCTGCAGTCTATGGCATGGCTTATGCATTAGCAAAAGATGTAATCCTTGTCAGATTGTCGTGAACTGTAAAAACACCACTTACAGTCCTGCTTCAGCCCCGTGTTGTTTTTTATTCTGTTTAAAAGTAACCTCTGAGAGCCCAATCTAAAACATTCAATTTCTGATTTAGTGCTCTCAGTCCCATAATTCCACCATCAGTGACAACCACCCATCTGTAGACTTGTAAAATGGCACCACTGGGGCATACAGACGTAACTCACCTGAACCCAACTCCTAGCACACAGGTGACTTTTTCATTTAAAAAGGCTCCCACACTGTTACCAAAATCTGGGAATGAAACTCACTGCTCCCAGTGAGAGGACAGAAAAGCAACAGCACTTCCAGCAGTGCTGTGTATGGAGGGTCACTCCTCCCATAGTGCATCTCCAGGAGCGATAAAGCAGGCAGGTTTTACACACCTTAACACGTATTCACATGCAGCTTCCACCGAGAGGCTGCCTACTTCTAGAATTGCTATAGGTACTAAAATATAATGCTACACATGCGCTGTGTTACATGGGGTTCTTGCAAAGGGTCTTTGATGGCTGTGGGGCTGTGCTGAGAAATGCTATCCATGTCAGGTCCTGTATGAGGTCAAGCACTTATTTACAAAGATGTGGCTGTTGACTAAGCTCCTAATTAGCACTTTGAGCTTGTTGTGGTGCCCATAGCATCAGCCCCAACAGGGTGCAGCGTACCTCCCTACAGCCCATGGAACACAGCCTCTGCTTTCAGGCTGCAGCTGGGAAAACTGCCTGCTCCTGATAGGCCTGCTTGCTGGTGATTTGGAATTAGTTGCTGAAGATCCCAGGATCCCTCCCTATTGCTAGGGATCAGCGTAAAATTGAACTAAGCAGAGGGAAATGTGTACCCTCGTGTTCTACACGCATCCCAGCTGTGGGAAGGGAAAATAATTGGGCTGAATACATCAGTGCCTTTCAGACCACTGAACTGCATGCGAAAATACACAGCGCTGGGCACCTCAACAATCGCTCATTGCTGACCAGCGGATGTAAAAAAAAAAAAAAAAAAAAAGAAAAAAAACAAAAGGATAAAATAGAAATAGAGCCGAGCGGAACACCGCTCCATTTCCTCACAGCGGCCGCAGAGCTGCTGAAAAGAACGGCTCAGTGAGCGCCTTCGCACCGCATCCCGCCGGCTGGGGGCCGTTAATACCCTCACGCACCACAGAAGCTCACAGCCGCCTCGCTGCGCTCTTAGCGCCGCTCCCCCCGCCGCACCGAAGGCCCCCGCCGCTCCCCCCGCCGCCCGCGGCCTCCTTCCTTTTCCTTCCCTTCCCGCCGCCATTTTCTTCACGGCCGTTCCACAGGAGCCTGCGCAGGGCGGGGGCGGAGGCACGGCGGAGCGCCAAGCCGGGCACGACGCGGCGGCGGCCCTCTCGCACAGCGCCGTTCCCCGCCAGGGCCGCGCCCTCCGCTCCGCCAGCTCGCCCGCCCGCCGAGGCCGGCACTTACGCGGAAGAACCCCGCGTCCATCTTGGCTCCTCCGCCTCCTCCCGATCGCAGCGCGCTGCCGTCCCGGCGTGCACCGCGCGCCCGCGAGCCCCTCGCACGCTCAGAGGAGGAGAGCGCGGTGCGCCTGCGCGCGGCGTGATGCTAAGAGGGACGGAGGGGGTGGAGCCGGGCGCTCCGCAAAGGCTCTTCGGCGCCTCCCGATTGGAGGGCGGATCGGTAGGCGGGCCGGCACTGGCCAATCGCAAAGCACAGCGTTCCTCCGCGCGGTGGCCGCGCTACGTCCCGTCGCGGCGCGCGGTCGGGGAGTTGACGGTTTATCTTCTCGCGAGATGCGGAAGTTCAGCGGAGTAGCGCGGGGCTCGTGACCTCACGGCCTCACGCATGCGCGCGGGCGTTGGCGCCTCCTCAGTGCGGCGCTGTGAGGAATGGGGGGGGGTGGTAAGCGGTGAGGGGGTGCGCTGCGTCTGTGTGCAGGGCAAGGTTTATTCTTGTAAAGACCTCGGTTTTGACGACGCAAGACGCAAAAACAGCACAGAAAGAGGAACAGGAGGGCAACTCCACAAAAAACCCACATTGTTTTCTGCAGCCCCCGCTGCGTGATAATATCGGTTATTCCCACCGCCAAAATTGAGGTGGAGATCCGGGAGAAGTGAAATGCAGGACGTACGGGCTGCTCGAGCAGCTGTCCTAATATTTAGCTTGGAACGCGCCCCGGTCATGTTTCATTAAAAGACTGCAGAGTAATTGAATTTAGTCCTGCAGAAAAGCAGCGTTTATTCGCAAGGATCTCTGCCGGAGGTGCCCTCACATCTTGGAGTTAGCGATAGAATCTCCCTTCTGTCAGTTATCACTTTATTGCTCTGAGAAGTGTCAGCTTTGGTTTGATTTAAGGATACAAACTGATCAGGCAACGGCAGCACTAAGAACAGCAAGGGAGCTGCTGCAGAACGAGGAAAGCTGTGGTTTCTCTGACCGATTACTGACTTCCTTCCCTACAGCTCCCAAAGAGTTTAAATACCCCACAGTTATTTAATAAGGTCTGTACAGACTGGGGCCCTCTAATGGTCGCAGGAGCTTGCAGCTCCCATCCCACACACAACAAATCGCACTGAATGCAGGCTGTGCCACTGCAGCCACCCCAGTGAGTGATTCCATCGGATTTAAAAGCGGAGATGCCTCTCACGGCTTTGCACGGTTCTGTTTAAAACAGAGTTTAACTCATCTTCTTCCTAATCCTCGCTACCTTCCCCATCCACCAGCTGTGGGAATGCTTTTCTATGCACGCCTCAAACAACGAGCTGCAGAGCATCCACACAATGCTGCTGTGTGCTCACATCAGTGGGCTGTGAAACACCCCTGGGAATGTCTTTGGTGCATTACTGTACACCCACAGTCGTCGCACTTGGAAAACATCACGGCATTCGGTGACTTTCTATAACAAAAAAATGATAAATCAATGTTCACGATATTTCAAGCCTAGTCCGCAATAGAGAACAAACCCTTTCAGGTTGTAGAAAAGCAGTGCATGATGCCTTGCTTGCTTTATGCTGCCTTCTCACGTTTACTTAAGTTAAAGAACTTCTCAGATTTCAAGATACAGAAAGCACTGCAACGGCAGTAACGAACCCAGGGTGATTTTGCCAGGAGAGTAAAAATCCTCAGACATGTGGTTCACTGGGAAACGAGGAGGTTACCGAGTTATTAGAAATATCTCAATATATACTTGATAAAAAGTCATTCTTTTCTGTCTACAACCATACAAACGTGGTATTAGAAACATGAAAGATGACTAAAGATAAATATGGTTTTCCTACTTCCCACACTATCTGCTGTGTAGAACAAACTACAAACCTGTTCCACCCAAACCTTAACAAAGCACAACCTGAGTTGCATGCAGCCTGCATGTCCAATTCTTCCTTCCATTTATCATCAGTCATATCAGCATAGAAAAAGCTTAAACTCTGAGTAAGCAAAAGCTCTACAAAATCAGTGTGCGTGGCTTCTCCAAATGAATAGCTTGGCTTCTTTGATCTTCCCACACCCAAAGCTCTGAAGGAGGGCCCCTCGCATTTCGGATGCTTTGTACCTCTTCACCTCTTGATTCTCAAAACACGGAAAATGTTCAGATCTTCCAGTTTTCCTCCCAGAGAGAAAAAGCAGGACAAATGACGATACAGAGAACAAACTAAGAGCTGATCACCATTCCAAATGCAGTACCACCGTTGAGAGCAGTCCCATCTCCACGTGGTAAGAACTCCAAAGGGAGGGATGCGTTCACAGTTATCTGCTCTGCATGTGGATAGGTATGGAAGTCACTGTGCAATGCTGAGTAATGCTGCTGCTGTTCTGCCCTAAAGGAGGCATTGCTGTTTTGCTGCTTTTGGGCTCCAGCTCCCGCTTCCCTCTCATGTGTCTGTAAACGCAGAAATGCAATATTTATCAGCGCTGACATTTGCAGTGCTTTCTCCCATGATAGAATTGGGAAGATTCCCACGGAAACAGGCTGAACTGAACAGCCATTGGGAAGTTAGCATCAAGCAGGACTTCATTCCAAAGATAGAAGATGGCAGGTGAGTGCTCCAGAACTTGTGCACGACTCTGTGCCTTCAGATGGAGAAATCAAGCTCCACTCTGGCAGCACGATACTCACAGCAAGCCTTTCCTATGCTGACAGAAGCCCCCTAGAAAGAGCATCCATCAAGCATTCTCTGCCAAGAACCATTCCATTACAGCCTGGCATTCAGGACATCAAGCACATTACACTCAGATTCTGCCTGAAATTTTCAGCAATAAGAAAGCCTGTGAGATGAGAGCACAGAAGTGATTTTGGTTCATCTGGCTTCTCCTCACTGAAGCACAGGACTCAGCCACGTACCTGTTATACGCCTTCAGTATGAGCAGAACCACTGTAAAAATAATAATTACTCCTACTACAATGGCAGCAACTATTGCTCCAGAACCTAGCAGGGAAGGAGAAAGAAAAATGAAGTCTTTTTTGAGAAGTTGTCAACGTTCTGTTTGGAATTTGATAAATTCAAAGGTTAAAAAGCTACAGAGAAACAAACAAACAAAAAAACCCCACAATATCTTCCCTTTTAAAATAATTTCTCTTTGTTACTTTTTATTCAGAGGAACAGTCTGGGATGGGAGCACTTGGAGGCAAGGAACAGGAGGGGTAAGCTGAAGAAGTGCAGCACCCACGTGCTGTGCAGCAACTAAAGTGCACAGTGGCCTGTTTTTCTACTTAAAGATTCAAGGTATTTGTGGTACAGGCAAAAACAAAAACAAAAAACCAACCCCACGACTTGTCTTACTTTGATAGAGACTCAGTTCTTGAGACCTTGTGGTCACATTCACCGAGAGCTGCGTAATGCCGATCAGCGGGGCTGCCGTCGTCATCTTGATTCGGCTGCAGAAGGAAAAAGAGGAATGATTTCATTACACATCAGCACCGAATTGTGCCACCTAATTGTCATCAATTAGCAGCTGCCTCTTAAAGATCAGTCATGTTTTCTCAGCGGTGAAGTCAATGGATGCTTTGCTACACCAGTCTGAAGCCATTTGCTTTACAGTATACACAGCACAGGGTTCGGAGGGTAAGACACAGGCACAGCACTGAGTGATGTTACAAAGGGTTTGGATGAATACACACACATCTTCAGCTCTGTGATTTCAGACTGTCGCTCCAGGTTCTGAGGTTTTGGTCCATAAGAGGAGGAGGGACCTGAGAGAGGAGCACTGCATCTCCGTGCCCTGTCCTGCACACAAAGCAGACTGATGGATCTGTGCATCCTCTCTCCAGTATTCAACAACGTATTCTCAAAGGTAGGGGGAAAAAAAGGACAGGTTTTGTGGTGTCGTTGCTGTGCAGTGATGGAAGGATACGTCTTTGTGGGAATTACAAAGTCGGCAAAGGGAGGCTTTATCACCAAGCAGCAGTAATAACAAATACAACAAAAGGAGGGGTTTGCTGCAGTCTGCTCGGGTTTCACTCTTTGTCGCTGAAGTCCGTGCGGGTTCGCTGCTTTTCCATTCGTTTTGTTGAAGTGCGCTCAGGTTCGTCGGGGTTCTCTGGTCTCTCAGCGTGCCCCACAGCCTTCCCAGTGTCCTAGTCAAGTTTCCAAGGCTGCCTCGGTGCCCCTGCAGCACCCCGTAACACTCCCTGGGGCTGCCCACAGGATTTCCAGCGCCCCGTGCTGCAGGGCAGGCACACCCCTGTGCTGCACCAGGCGGCTCCCAGGGCGGCTGCGGGGCACCGTACGGCGCTCCGAGAGCCTTGCGCTGCCGACACGCGCCGATGCACGAGTGAGCGCCGCCCGTACCGACCCGTGCAGCCCGGCGGCACCGCCAGGTTCCGGGGCACTGAGGGAAACGGGGCTTTCCGTTGCTGCGCTGCATACAGGTAAGCGGAGGCACACACCGAAGCAGTGTTCTTCCCCCATAGCAGTGCCCCGACGTACATTTTCGGCCCGTTTCGTGTCTTTTCTGCGCGGTCCCGCCGCTCCCACACCTCCCAACGTACCGGCTGCGCGGTTCTGCCGTCCGTGCGCAGCGCGAGAGCCTCGGCACCACCGCGCCTGCGCAGAGCAGCGCCTGCAGTACCGGATTTTGTTCAATAGACGGCAGCAGGGAGTGCCGCGGCGATAGTGCGCATGCGCGGTGCTGGGATGGGCACTTGTCAATCAAAGGAGGCGATGACCCAATCACGTGCCGCGGCGCGCGCAGGGGCAGTGGGGGTGAAAGCGGCCATTTAGCGGGGTTGGCTCGAGCCTTCTAACAAGGAAGCGGAGATGTGAAGAGCTGGGGCTGAGGGCTGACGGCCCGTGAGGGGACTGATGGCCCGCGCCTCAGTGCTGTGTAAAAATTCCCTCCCCCTCCCCCTTCTTGTCTTCGGACGCATGCGCATTACTTCCTGGAGGACTAATCACCATAGAGATTGGCGGCGCAGAGCGGCTAAAACGAAAAGATTCTGCTTCCGTGTTTTCCAGCACAGCTCAGCGCTATGGGGACCGGCTGCACGAAGCACATCGTCAATTCGGTTATTTTTTTTACACATGTTCATGAGAAAGGAAAAATTCTCCAACTCCAAAAAACTGAAGAAGGCAGAAAGGCGCAGCCCGCCATTCACGTGATGGAGCTTCTGCCCTTCGTCCCAATTAAAAGCAGGGGAAGCAGGAGAGCGAAAGAGGAAGGAGTTGGAGGGGATGCCGTGTGATAACCAGGTCCTACATGTCCTACAGCTATTGAACGTGCTCTGAGGAGCCGTAGGTACAACCCAGAACATCCTACAGCCCTCTCACAGCCCCTCAGCACGCTCCAGGTTCTTCACTGATTTCCCAGTTTGTCCTACTGGACTCCCAGGACCCCTCAGTGCATCTCAGAGACCTCCCCAGGCCATCCAATACACTCCAGGACACACTATTGAATTCCCAAAGCTTGTCTGTGTCTCTTAGTGCATCCTACAGGCTTCCAAGGATGCCTCTGAAGCACACTACAATATTCCCAGAACTTCTCAGTGCACTCTAGGGTGCCTTAGAGGCCTTCCAGTGTACTCCAGTCTATGTATGCCTCAGGGTGCTCTGGGCCACACCAGAATGCTCCCAGAGCTCCATGGCAACTGTAGGGCACCCCAAGAACCTCTGAGAGATGCTAAATCTGTGTTTCCAGACACATACATGTTACCTCCCAGAGAACCAAACACAACAGAGGTTAACAGACTGGCAGCACAAAAACAGGTGCATTTTGTTAAATGTATTTTATCATTATTTTATAATAAAATTACTTACCTACTATAACGGAAAAGTCTTAACTTCAAGAGATCATATACCTGGAGCTACGTGTCTAAAGACATGAAGAGGTGAGAATGAACTGTAGGAGTAGGAGTAATTGGCATATCTGCTGTGCCCAAACCTCAGCACTGTGTGCCAACACGTTGATGCAATGAGGGCAGCCATCACCCAGCTGCCCCTTCAACTCGCTCTGGCTTTGCTGCACATCTCTCCTGTGCTGGAAGCCCCAGACCTCGGCACCGTACTCCAAATATTTCCTACCCAGACCTTCTTGAAAGCTCTTCTTTCGACAGAACTCCGTAGCAAGGAACATTCTTCCTCACTGAGCATCTGAATGGGAGCTCTGGCAGCGTCCCTCAGAGGCTGAGTGCCCACAGCACTCAGTGACTGCTGCACCACTGCAGCTCTCCCACCTGAGGGAGCTCCCACCTCACACAGCAGCCACCGTGAGGCTGTGCAGAACGCTGCTCCTTCAGGATTGAAGATGCTTTGGTCTGTATTCCGTTTAAACCTAACAAAGAAAAAAAGAAAAAAGAATTCATTTTGAATGAAGCGCAGTGCAACATTGTGCAGAGACTTCAGCTGATGCTGGAGCCTGGCCTCAGCCCCATATCCGCAGGATTCATCCAGCAGTCTCCAAAGAAAGGTGTCATCACTGACCAGGCTGTGCTCGGAGCAACAATAGGCAAAGCTCATCCCACAGGAGCTCTGCCCTACAAATGAGGCTGCCCAATTACAGACCTTTAATGAAGTTTGTAATTCCAACCTGCAAACCCCATTCCCATTGCCCTTTGTGAACAAGCACTGGCAAGATCTCACTCCAACCCCCCTGAAATGCAAGACAGTTACTCACAAGGGACACTGACCTGCTCCACTTCAGTTTCTCCAGTTTCAGCCTTAAGGAAAGCACACCAATAACCTCCACGGGGCCTCACAAGCTCTCAGACTCTTCCACTAAGTGTGCAGTTCCTGAAAAAGACAACACAGCCCCAGGTAGGCATCTCCAGTTCAACAGCCATCGTGCACTAAGAATCAGTGCCCAAGGAAGCAGCAGAGCACAAACCCTCACCCCACGGCTCTGTTCTGCTGCCACCCCCAGGGCAACAAAGCAAACACTGACTGTCTTCAAACTGGCTTCACTCAGAGCAGGGCTGTGCCAGCAAAGAGGCCAAGGCCAGTCTGAATGTTACTTTTCCTCCTTTTTCGACCACAAGATCGGTATTCAGATCTGATGGGAAAGGGATCTGGAGGGACAGAGCTCTGGCAAAGGCACTCTCTCACCTTGGGTCTACCAGCAGGCAGGCAGTGAGCTCCAAACAGCGAGAAACCCTGGAACACAACACAACAACACCCCCAAAATCAGCACCAGGCTTCAGATATCATCAATACTGACACAACCAGCCCCCAAACCACCAGAGCTCTCACAGGAGGGGGCAACACCCTGGTTAGAAGCTGAAAAATATATAGGAGGGGTGAGTGACAGCAACAGGCAGAAGAGGCCGAGCAGTCAAAGACCTTCCTGTTGCTCTTGCATGTTGTTGGAGATCTGCAGCTATATCAGAACCACAGCTCTTGGATTAACATGCAGGTGGGTTTGGCCAAGGCCTGTTACAGCTACAAAAGCCAGACAGAGCAGCAGACACAACAGAAGCAGAGCAGTCTGTTGGCTTCGGATCTGGAAGAACTGGGATTCGATTCCCAGTTCTGAGTCAAGGGATGCTGCACAAAACCTCTCCACCCCTCTAAAAGCAATTTAGGTAGGGCAGCGAGGGGAAGCTGGCAGCTCTGGTGGAGCTGAGTCACAGTTCCAACTGCAGCTGTGAGAACCCCCCAGCACCGCTCACCTGCCCAGCACCGCCTCCTGCACCCGGTGACGACAGGAACAGCATCTCACACCGCTCCTTAGGGAGAAAAGCATTTAGAGAACAGCAACGCCTTGCTCTGCCCACCCGCCAGCACCCCTCCAAACGAAGCACAGGTCTGCTATCATCAGTGCCTGAGAGCACTGCAGGCAGAGCCGCAGCCCCTGTATTTTCCCGATTTGTTGCTGGGCAGTTACAGAAAACCAAACTGTGCAGCGACCGTCGAGGAAAACGCGTGGCTCTCGGCTCCTTTTTGACTGCGGCTGCCACAGCGCAGGGCAGGCGCAGCTTCGATAGGGCCGCGCGGGCCCCGCAACCACAACCACCCCAACCCAGGCGGGCGCTCACCCACGGCAGCCCAGATCCCGCACCACGGAGGGAGCCACATCATCCCGCCGAGTCCCCGGGGCACCGACGCGGCGGGGCCTCGTCAGATGGCGGCGGATTGTCCCCGCACGGCAGCAACAGCAGCCACCCGCCGCCATCGCAAAGAGAGACAGAAGGCGGCCCGCCGTGGGCTTTTATAGGGCGGCAGCGCGCACGCTGATTGGCTGCTGAGGACGGGTGTTCCCGCGGTGCCTTCTGGGAGTTGTAGTTCCGTGCGGTTGGTGCCTATCGCTTATAGTGGGAGTTCTGAGCGTGCCTCGGTGAGGAAAGTTCATCTAGAGGGAGCGAGGAGGAGCACTGGATGAAGTAAGAGGCTGCTGGTTGGTCATGATGCTAAAAGGACGCTAGGAGGGAGAAGAGACCGTGGAATAGAAGACTGGAGACCTCATAAATCACTACCTGAGATAGGCGTGTCTGTGTTAATTATCAGGTGTGTAATTGATGAATGCGTACGCTCTGAGGAAGTGTAATGGACTCTGAATCATCTCATCTGAAAAAGGTAACGAGAGCTTTGTCAGAGGGCTGAACTAGCTTTATCGGTTTTTAAACGTGGTCATTGCATCAAATTCACTTCACGTTCAAGTAGATCCCAAGTTAAATCCAGAAATGGGTGTTTTATGACATGGGGTGGGAGGCAGCGAGGTTGGAAGGTAAAAATTCCTCCCCAGCCTCATTGAAAAAGCTGGGGGTTAGCAAGCCAATAAGGGGACAGAGTCAGAATACTTACAGATCAGACCAAAGCTGCTCCACTCCTCCAATGGCACTCAGAAGAATCCTGCAGCCTGTAGCACTCCTTGGCAACGTGTGGTTTTCAGCCTCTGCAACTCAGGTTGTCATCTGACATCTCCTGCAATCTGAAGGATAACCCAGGTTGGGTCATTGCATTTCAGTCAAATAACATCAGAACGTTGAAGTCACTTTGGTAGCTGTGAGTAGACACTGCATGCTGGAAGGCAGAATGCTTGAGTCTAAGCCACAGATTTTGATGCAGCGTTCAAGAATTACATTATCCCAGTGAGCTGTGATATCCTCTGCCTTGGATTTCTTGCCTTCAGCACATAAAGATAAAAGCAAAATTCATCTTGCTGCACGGAGTCCTTGTTTTTCATCTCATGTTACACCAAATGGAAGTTAATGAGGGCTTTTCCTTTAGCCATCCACAACAAACAAAATCCCACACTCTCTTCAACCTGGATTCCAAAACAAACACCACAAATGCAGGTGACACCACAAATGAGGCTGCTTTGTAGTTCCACATAAAAGTGCCTTCCCTGCTGCAGGTGCTGCAATAGTAGCCAGGAGCTGAAAACGAGCACAGAGATAAATCAATTACATGCAGACAGAAGCACGGTGAGATTACCAGCTCAGCAGAGCACTGGCTGAGATTCCCACAAACAACCCCAAGAGGATGGCAATTAAAAGCCCACATCTACAGAGTTAAGCTGGGGAGGACGCTTCCATGCCTCACAAAGCCTGGCGCTGCACCTCTCCCACCCACAATAAGGAACAGAGAAAAAGCTGCCTCCTTTTCCATTCACCCCAGCTGAGCAGGGGAGCAATTTGGTTGCTTCTCCTTCTCTCCCAGGTAATTCCCAGCTTTGACATCACTGTAAGAAATGGATGTGTGCTCCCAACGCCCTGCTATTGTCCTGATCCCCTTCCGTGTGCACACAGCTATACCAGAAGCTTGGGGATGCCATAACGATGCATCAGACCAATCTCTCCCAACGTTCTTTCTGCCACAGATCTAAAAGACAGCAAAACAATTTTGCCCAAGGGCTCCTGCCTGTGAAGGGAGCTGCTCTGCAATAACCTTCAGACAGTGTGGCTTCCCTTCATTCCCCACCTCCTGCAAGCACCAGGCTGTGTCAGTCAGCAGTGTGTAACAGAGCTGCTGTGGGTATTAGGGAACGTTAAACAGGGCAGCACTGCTGGGCAGCCTTTCAACAGCAGCACAGATAAACTGAGCTTGTCTTCAACCAGGAGGGCTGCATTATAAAAGCTGAAATCTGGGGGGCAGGGAGGGCAGGCCAAAAAGAGAAAATGAAGGCTGTACAGAGCAGCACTCTTGCAGCACATCAACAGTGATGTAGAACGTGAGTCACAGCAGAACATAAGAACCTTCATGTCACCTCATTTTGGCTACTCTACTCAACAGGAGCTTCTCAAGTAGAGTGATGCTACTTTTCAGCATTCAGCACCGCTGAGCAGCTTCACCAAAGGGAAAGAGCTCTCCATCTCTGCGCTGCCCTTGAGATGCTACAGCACACACCAGGAGCATTCATTTCCTTAAATACAGAGCACATGAAGGTCAGATCACTGTTTACGGTCCACTGCGCTGTCAAAAGCGCAGCAGGAGATAAAAGTTCCCAGCTGATGAGAATGCAGAATCCTCTTAGCACACCAGAAATACGTTCAGTGCAGTGCAGCTCACCGTTTTCCTCATGTTCACAGTTATGTCCACCACTGCAGTTGATAAAAATGACCACAGACAGACAAATACATCACAAACAAACAAAGGTGTAGCAGAAGTAGGCTTTATGAAAGTATTTAAATTTTGTGGCAAATCTCTGCATCAACACGGGGAGGGAGGCAACTTACTGCTGTGCATGAGCAATCAGTCACCAAACCATTTCTTGGACAGACATTTATTACAGGTAGTTTATCTCTTCCTATTTCTCAAAGAGTTTAAGGCACAAAAGCCTGAAAAGGGCTTATAACATGTACATAAGTGCTATCATTTTTGCTTTCACCTCTAAAGCAAGATAATACTCACTTAAATATATTGCTTGTCCATCATCCAGCTTATACAACATTCAGTAGAAAACTGCCTTCCAAGTCAGCAACAATTTGTTGCACAATACATTGATTGGATTGCTCTGACCCGTTTTTGCTGCAAGATCCTCAGTTTCACCATATTTACTCTGACAGTGGAAGACGCTGTGAAACCTTAACATGATAAAGGGGCCATTGAGGCCTGTCAACAACGAAAAAGGCATCGTACATACAGTAACATTTCAACAAGGTTGCTGGTAGAAGTGTTTTAAACTGCTTGGCTGGTGGGGAATTCTTTCCTCACAGATGGAGAGGCAAGCCAAACATGCTGGAGACCATCAAGCAGAAGGCATCAGTCTGTAGTGGTTCTCTGACACTCCTTCCTGCCTTTGCTCTCCAAAATGCTTAGGAACAGCAAGCTTAGTTCAAGATCACAGCTTAGATTAAGCAGAACATAGGCTTTCATCCACATGATTCCTTCCCATACTCAACTTATAGCAACTTTACCCAGTCACTAGGAAGCTTCTGAGACATTTTAGTGGTATTTGACAGTGACTCTTTAAAAACCAAACCAAACCAACACGTGGACAAGTGTTGGACCAACTGACTAAAGACAGTTAAATGGGCAGCAAACCAGAAAGGGGGCACGAACCAAAAAGCAATGGGTACTTTTACTTAAAAGACCAACTTCTTTATTGTACGTTGGAGTAGTCCTTCCCCTGTGCCATCCTGATGCAAGTTTATAAATTACAAGTAGTATTAAGAGTTCACTTCAAGACAAAAGGAATAAAACCGCTGCAGTTCTGACTTCCACCACCAACAGAAGTTATCACGGTGCTCCCGCGGCACTCCGGCGTTGCACAGGGAACACCACACTCCTCCTGTACTTCCAGTAACAGACCTGAGTGGAAAGGGGCCACCCCTGACTCCTGCAGGATCCATTTGCAGAGTAACAGAGCACCGGCGGATTCGTCACACAGACGGCACCTCAGCAACGAGGCTATAGCTATAACATGGCTGGGATCTCTGACGAGACAGTGTCCAAAGGCTGCCAATGGCAGTCCATCAAGGCATCATAGAGCTCTTCACTCTGCTCCATAAACTGTTTATTTGCTTCATGGACATCCAAATGAGGTGCTGGATCTAAAGGAGAAAAGGCAAACAAACAGGCTGTGTGTTACATGGGTTGGGAAAGCACCCACAGCCCACAGACACGTCACAATAATGTGCAGCACGTCCCAGATCATCCCCACCACTTCCCCGATGACAACCCGACCACTGCAGCCCTAGCAGATCTTCCAGCAATGGGATAAATCTAACAGCAGACAAGCCCTCCTTTCAGTGCCATTGCCCCAACAGCAGAGCCAACAGAGAGAAGGCATACCTGCACCTCGCAGCCCCGTGTGGCCACTTAAACTGCCAGAGGAGGTGTGCTGGCACCACGGCACGGCGGAGCCGCAGGGGCGCAGGCACACATTCCATTCTGCTCCCTCTGCTTTGGATGGGGATGGCAGCATCTGCTTCTGCAGCCACAGTCACCACAGCTCATCTGCTGGAGCCTCAAACATCTCAAAGCATTGCACAGTTAGTAACGGAAGAAGTGCCAGCGACAGCATTAAGCACGAGTACATCTCCTGTTTTACAGCTGGATGAAGTGTTTGCAAAGCATCCGGGGGCTGCACAGCAACCCGGTGGGATCCACTCTGCTGCTACCAGTGCATGGTGAACAGTTTGCAAAACTTGTGCCAATCGTGGTCCCCAACAGCACAACCACCTCACAGCTATCAGTGCACAGGAAATTTAATCAACAAGAAAAAGATACCCCAGAGATACCCTAATGATAGCACAGGAGTTCCACTTTCTGCATGTTGAAGAAAGGAGAGCCCTTGTGTAATGCTTCAAAAGCCAGCACAGCTTTCTCCTTGACATCACTGCTTACACCCACAGGTTCTGCACAGCACCCATCTGCTTTCTGCTTTCACCACGTGTTCTTTAACTTCTTATTTTTAAGACAGTAAGGAAATACACCATACAGTGCATAATCCACTCAAGACAAAGATTTGGAATCACCAGTATAAAATTAATTTTTTCTTGCATGAACGCTGCTCCTATGTTTATCTATGGCCCCAGTATTGTTTAGTGACCCATTCCACCCAATGCCTGCTATAACAAATACTTTATCAGGACACTCTGATATCATTTCTTTTTAAAATAAGCACCAAGAAGTATGCTGGACTCCACAAAACAACCAGATTCCATGGACAAAACAGAATGCCTACATTGATTTTGTAGCATACCAGAGAACCAAACGAACCCAAAGGACGAAATTCTGTATAGTACAGAAAACAAAGATATGTGATTTCAGGGCAAAGGATATGTGGACATTAAACCACCAATGGTCTCAGTGCTAGTGAAGTCAATTAGTTACAGCCCTGATGAGGGCTGATGACTGGGAGCAGCAAGTGTAAAAGATGCAGCCAGGTGATAGTGAGGAGCAAATGTTATCAGGCTCAGATTTAATCAGAGACAAAGGTGTATTGTACACTGCTTCTAAAGGCCAGCTTGAGAAAGGCTATCTCCAATCAGTACAAAGGAAATGCATGACTTCAATAAAGAATTCAAGAAACATACCTTCCAATGCATCCTCACCAACTTCTTCATATGTCTGTAAGGACAAAGAAACCCTTAGGACAGCAGATAAAAATATTAGAAAAACAAAAACATCAACTGCTGGTTACAACTGTCATACAGTGACTTTTAAATCTGAGTGATTACAACAGCGTTCCTCACACTCAAGCCCTCTGATCCCCTCCTGGCAGGCTCCAGGGTGTGGGTTCCACTCTAAACTTAACACAGAGGCAGCAGTTCTTTAAAGGGCACAGTTTGTGGCTGTCTTGATCTGTTTCAGCCCCTGAAACAAAGCTTATGAAGGATCCTAGAAGCATTCTGCCATGACAACTGTATTTAGAGCCCCGTTGTGCTCACTTGGTCCAAGCAAGAAACCCCTCAAAAGACAAGAGTGCAAGCCAGGTGCTGCTGAGCAGTTCTGCTTCCTCACTAAGGAGCCATGCTGAGACACCAGAGCTTGCTGGCATCAAGCACCCCCACAGCTCTGAAGCTCTCCTGCATTTCTGTGCTGGCAGTCAGAGCAGGGTGAGTTCTCCACGCTGCCCTACCTGCATGGTGCTCTGTGTGTAGCCATACTGGGGGTAGCTGTAGCTGTAGCTGCCTGTGTTCTGGTCGTAGCCCCACTGTGCATAGTAGCTGTGGTACTGCTGGTAATACTGGCTGTAGCTGTAGTTGTACATCTGGCTGTACTCCGCTGGCTTCATGCGGTTACTTAAAAAGAAGGCAGGAATAGGTTACATGTCATGCAGAAAGTTATGAGAAACAGTTTAAGGTATGGTACATCAACAGGCTTTATTCTAACATGCACAATTCAGCCTCTAAAATGCATTCACTCTTGAATGAAGTCACCTTCATCATTTACATACGTATGCAGAAAGAAATAAGTGGTTTATATTCAAACCTCCTTCCCGTATTCATATTCATCTTCATTTACAAACATTGCTTTAATTCTTCATGACTAATTTAGGATCACCTCCTGGCTCTGGAAAGGGAACAGTTTGGGACTACGAGCCTCAGTTTAGAATATCCTGAACCATGATCCATATTTTTGGGTCCTTTTTTCCTTCTGATAAATGAGACAAAGTATTCTGCAGCCTCCAGAGGTAAGATACTGAGTTTTGCTTCTCACTAAGAGTTAAAGACTCAGAGCCTTGCAGAACTGGGGTTTCTTTCAGAAAGAAAGGTCCAAAACCTCTCCCTTCTGCTGCTGCCATAGAAGAGCCTAAGCAACACCTGATTGTCCCCATCCTCACTTCACTGGATGACCTTCAATGCAAATACTTTAAAGAGTTCTTAAGTAAAAAGGACAATGGGTAATTAAAAATTAACCTTAAACAGCGCGCTAACTGAAATCCTCATTCATTGCCATAAAGAGACAGCATTCCCAACAAGCTGGGAATCCCACCTCACCACTGAGATTTGAAATGAGATGACAAATGTTGCTTGAAAATGAGAACACATTATGCACAAAGCTCCACTGAAGATGCAACCAGTGAGAAGCAGGCAGAGGGAAACACCGGTCTGCTCCCCACAGCACAGCCCCTTTTCTCTTCCTCACCCCCCCAAGGTTTCTGAGGTCGCCAACAATCTGCATGTTATTCAAACAGGGAGCAATAACTATTATTCGTATTACCCTAGTGCTACGAGCCCCAAGTCAGAGCAGGATCTCACTGTATCAGGTTCTGAACAAACACAGAAAAAAGAGTTAATCCCTGCCCCAGAAGTTTTATATTTACATTGCAATAAATGAACAAAGTCATTGAGCTTTGCTATCCAGGAGTCAATAAGCAGACTTAGGCTATTTAAACGCAAAGGAACACGTACTTTTCAAATAATCACATTTAAATACTGTGTGTGTTTGTGTATTTAATCAAAAACAGCATAAAATGCTTCGTCTTGGTCTAACAGCATAAATGTTGATGTCTGTGCGTTTGGACAGACATCAGCTTCACCAGATTTGTGTGTATTCCTCTACTTTGTGACGGAAACATCCCGGATGTGCACCCAGAGCTCTGCCTAACACCTAACAGCCCTTGGGATCCCACATGCTGCTGCTCCCCGGTCGGGCTGCTCTCATACTCACACTTTCGGTATAGCCACACTCAAGCGCACCGGTTTGGAGCCCAGCCCCACGGCTCCCTGGCACTCCGTCAGCGCTCTTTTCTGCTCCAGTTCATCGGTGAACTTCACGAAGCCGTAACCTCTGTGGAGATATGGAAGAATTTGGATCAAACAGAAGCAAATAAAGACTCGCTGCTTTTTTTTTCTTTTTTTTTCTTTTTTGGAGTATTGATGGTGAAATCTAAACTGGCTTTGCAAAGCGCAGTAAGTGAAACGCTTCCACTGGGGCTTTTAGTAGAGGTTACACGATTCCCTCTTCCAGTTGCTTTGCTTTCTTTGCTTGAATGCTCAGATCTCAGCTTCAGCAGCACTTGTGAGGGCTGCAGAGAAGTAAGCCAAGCCTTCTGCCAGCAGATCCCAGGGAACTCAAAGTGAGCTGACACAAGACATGTCAAAATGCACGGACAGCAGCAAAGCCTCAAATCTCTACTGGGAGAACACAGGTAATGTGAACAGATGCAACTCAGCACAGGACTGACAAGATAAAGGCATTGCCACTGCGTCTACAGCTGCCCCACATGAAGCACAGCGCTGCTTCTCCATAGGATCAGCTGAGATGTGCTTTTTAATCACGTCCTTTTTCCAACAGGGAAACACCAACTGGACTTTCTGTCACTGCCAACAACCACCCGATCCCATCAGCACTGTCAACAGTGAATGAAAACGAGCTCTTAACACCAGGTTGCTAAAACTTGCTCTGATAGCACAGCTGGAGCATCAGCAGCACTCAGACAGCAAGCCCTCAACTGCAGCACTACAGCACAGCACTCATCAGCCAGACCAGCACCATGAATTCCCTTCCCCCCTCCCTGATCCCGAAAGTCCTTTGCGTGGGCCTGGATGCCGCAGTGAGTCAGAAGCGATGCAACAGCACCCCAGAGGGCAGTGCCAGGATCCCAGCATGGGATGGGCCGCCTCACACAGCACAAAGATCAAAGACTTGGGCTGGGAGGGGAAGAGGAATCCACCTGGGTGACTGAAGGAGGTGCTTGGCTACCCAGGAAAAGAACAAGCCCAGAGCGAGGGTGTAAACGTACAGCATTATTATCTATTCTGTGGGAACAATTAAATGCAAAGTAACACACACAATAGTTTTGAAAGTGTCATCACGAGGCACTCATACCACATCCACACTGGGAGTTATTACAGAGCAGTTGGTGTCCCATAAAATGCAGTATCTTGCACAGCAAGCTATAAATGCAAACCTGAATATTTATTTACGTGTACATCTGTGCATGCACATATGTATGCTCCCCAATAAAGAAGCCCAAGTCAAAGCTCAAGCTTGTCAATATACAAACTGGATAATGAAGCAAGAGCAAAACTCTACATGGGTACAGGTTCTGTTTCAAATCAGTGACCTTAATTCAACTTACCCTCTGTGAAAGCACAGTGGCAAATCAAACCAGTGTAAATCAACACCTGAGTCAGCTATGGTTGTTCACACAACAGTGTGCAAGTTTCTAAGCAGCTACAGAGGCTGCAGCAGCCTTCAGGTGGGAACAGAAGTGAAAGCAGGAATGCTGCCAGCTCTGAATGAGTGGTGGACAAAGTAGAGGGAGGTGTGGGGATAATAGCTGGCTGCAGCAAGGCAGAGGTGATTCTTCCAACATCTCCAGATGCTCAGTTTTTTCATATAAGCGGCTAAACCCGATTTTAATACAGGCAAAAGAAAAAAAGAAAGAACCACATCCACAACAAAACAGCAAAAACCCACCTCCAAACAGAACAAAAACAACAAAAAACCTGAAGGGAAACAAACAAACAAACAAACAAAAAACACCCAAGCACACAAAAAATCCTCCCCAAAAAACATTTTGTTGAAGTCAGAATCTGCCTGGCAGACATTCGGCCCTGTCCCAAAAGTTAAAAGAAGACTCCCAGCCTGCACCCATGGCAGAAAGCAAGGAAGCAGGCACAGCACGACAGCACCAGGCTCCAAACTCTTCTCTTGCTTGGACAGCAGGTGCTGGGAAAAGCCTTGCAGGCTCAGAGCTTCACTGGGCACCTCCACAAACACCAGCATCCATTCCTGTACCACCCTGACACTTGCAGTTGCCTCAGCTTTGAGTAAGTGCCCAGGTCATAAAGAAGCTGGAAGCAACACCCCAGCAGTGCTGGGTGAGGCTGCTGTGCTCTCCCAGCACCCAGCACTCACTGCCCCTTCCCCACATCCCAAGGGAACGCAGGGCACCTTGCCCTGAGGTCTGCACTGAGGAGCTGTGCCCAAAGCCAATGAACATCACCCATCACCTACACTGCAGAGCAGAACAGGAACTGGGGGAGGCCCCAAGGCACAGCTGGTCTCAGGAGAGGTGGCAGTAGCAGCACACTCAACAGCCTGAGTGACTGAGCAGCACTGCAAGAGGTTCAGGTCGGAGATAAGGAAGACTTGGAATGAAAACTTTGTGAGTTAAGCAGCATAACCTCTCCATAGAGAGCCATGCAGCATTGGGACAGGCTGCCCAGACAAGTTACATCATCTCAGCCTGGGAGATTTTCCAGGCTACGCAATTCATCGCTGACCTGAGCTCATGTTGGCAGCAGCTCTGCTCAGAGCAGGAAGTTGGACACAAAACCTCCAGATATTCCTTCAAACCAACAGATCTTAGAGTTGAGAAACCCTTACGTGAGAAAGAGGGAGATCTACAGCCACATTCTACGTCTTGTCACCACATTCTCATAGCTATTGTGTCAGAATATTGTGTTTCATTGAAGCCATGTTCTGTCCTGAAAACAAGGATGCTAGCCAACTGGTCTCTCTCCTAAGAAAATAAGAAAGAATTCATGTTCTCCAATTTAGAAAATGTTTTATTAACATTAAGAACATATTTGACATCTGTTTTTGATGAGACATTTCCAGTAAAGATGAACAAGGTGGCTCCTAACTCCTTGCTAATGAATCATAGCTTTGTTTGCCCTACCCTATTGGAAACAAAAGCCTGCAAAGCTTCCACAGGAATATATATTCAATAGCCCAGGAATATATATTCAACAGCCAACTGCAAAAGCACAGTTCTGTCTGAAACTCCAGTTTTTCCAGGTCATTTTTCAGCTTTTTCACAAGTGCAACACTGCACTGCCAACACACAGAGCACAGCATTGACCCCAACACTGCACACAGCCAGGAACGTTACAATCCTACCAGGTGTGTGTTCTACTAACATCTAAACTATTCTTCTTCCCTTGTTGCACATTTCCTATGCTACAATGTGAAGTTAAAGAAGAGAATGAATAAAAGATGACTTACTTGGATACTCCTGCCTGGTCCAAAACAACTTTTCCACCTCTACATGATGGATAAACTTTAACAAAAAACTCATACAACATGCCATCATCCACGTCAGCAGTCAGGTCTCCCACAAAAAGTGAATATTCTGGACTAAAGAAATCAAAAGAAAACTTCTTAGGCACAAATACACACATGCCCACAAAACGTGTGACGAGCCCAAAAATTTGACCTCAGAGAAAACTGACATTAAAGGACCATTTTTATCAGCCATGCTTTTTTCAGTTAGTTAAGCAGCACAATGAGTCTACGTTATTCTGCTCTGTATTGAAAGATGAGCTCAGTTCTTAGTTCTCAGACATGCTGAACTGGGCACTGTACGTGAATTTCTAATGTCTCAAGAAAGCATCGCTGTCTCATTTATAGGGTTGCTATTTCCTGAATACTGATCTTAAGTTACAATACATGAATTAGATGCTTTGAGGCTAAAAAGTTCAAGTATTTAAGAAGACGCTCCTGACCAACCTGCTGTGCCACACAGAAGGTAAAGCATGAGACTGACAGGTGGTCTGAGTTATCCTCCCTCTGCTAGGCAAGCTGCTGGAGTCAGCAAGGCTGTGTTACCCATCTGCAGTTTGTGACTATTTCCAGAGCAAACAGAACTGCAAGAATGATACAAGACGTAAATCTCATTCTTGGCCCCATCTCTCATGCCCTGATTCTAATCTGAAGTTGTTTTTCTTCTTTTTTTTTTTTTTAATATTAGTAATTACCCAAACTAAAAATACAATTGCTGAGATGTGAGTTAACACAACCCTCCCAGATTGCAGGACTGTGGTTCACACCTACCTGACCACGCCGTGCTGTTGTTTCTCCACCTGTGCAAAGCATTTCTGGGCAGGCGTTCTGACAGCTGCTAAACGGCCCAGCTCCAGAAACTCCACACAGCTGCTGTGCCTCCTGCTGGGCCTTTCGCTGCCCATGCAGAGGGATGGGCTCCTCCTGAAGCCAACTCACAGCCTTGCTCCCTCCCTTTGCTGACTGCTGTGGTACCACAGCCAGTTAAGCCAGGTGCTGTGAAACCACTGCCCGCAACTTCAGGTGCCAAACACAGCCATGGCATACAGCAGTGTTATGATGGGATGCATCCTCAAAGTCCTAACATGCTGCAGCATACCGAATGCTTACAGTGTGCTCCCAGTTTAATGCAATCCATGTTTCTCATTGTGGGATTTAGCTGCCTGGCACTGCCAAGCAAAATGGCACAAGGCTGAGTTGTGTGCATCTCATGAATTCTCTCCTGTCCAATTTGCTAGCTGTACATCTTGTCCAGCAATAATGAACTTGTGGGTTTACGTATTTTGAATACTCTTTGCAAGGCAATTGATAAAGAGACATTAAACAGGCAAAACTAATATTTGAATGTGGGGTGTTTACCTGTTATCGGGCTGTTTTCCATACGTTGCATAATTCAATTTAAATCTCTTTGCCTGAAAAAAGGCAAAAATGAATCCGTACATTCAAATGCTCCCATGTAAATCCATACAATTAGGAAAAATGCAACAAGCTTACTTTAGATATCTATTATTTTTAATACTGGCAGACGTTCAGAGCTGTCAGGCCATTCAGTTCAGGTATCCAGGATATTTTTATTTCACTCCAGTACAGCTACAATAATGAAAAGCAGCAAAGGAGCTGCACCAGGGGGTTTGCTCTGCTTTATTTCAACACTCCACAAAGGCACTGAAAGATGGGCAAACCTCACCCAGTACCAAAACTGTATGTCCTAAAGGAAGACAGGAACGCTGAGGTCCTAACAGCAAGTATTACATGACTTCTCATGTCAAGGTCTCACAGTGAAATGACAGCACACACAGCTGGGTGCTTGATGTTTGTCATTTACCAGGATACTGACAAAGCAAAACCTGCCACACTGAGAGATGGAACCAATCCCTGATTCTGGACGTATGACTGAAAACTTTGCTCTGCATGAAGCTCTCATTTATTTGGGTGGGGAGCAGCTTTTTCTGAAAGATGCCCCTTCTCTTTTTTACACAAGTTTCCCAGGAACTCACATTTGTGCCACTGGAACACCTCACCACATCCTACCGGAGTTCAGCCTTCTGTCCAGCTCACGTGCAGCTCTGACCAGGACCCAAGGAGCCTCAAAATCCCATGGGTCTCAATTCCTCAGGACCCTCACCTGATGCTCAGCACCCAACGACCCACAGCTCACTGCCCAGCGCAGCACTGACTGCTAATTCCTTCCAGAACAGTTCCTTCCAAAACAAGTCTGACAGAGGAAGAAGCAAGGGGCTGCACTCCTTGAACAGAACACTGGTTTCAGAACTCACCCAGACAGTGGGAGAACTAAGCTGGATTCCCTTGCTAGTACGAAGACACAAATGGCTTCAAACCAATCCTTCTGTCTCGCAGCAGACTTCCAAAGCACACATCTCTCTGCACTATGCAGTGGCATAGCATCAAAGAATTCCATTTGGACAAAGAACACAAGCCTACAGTTAGTCCAACACCTAGAGACCAGAACATTTGTTTCACACTGAGGAGAGCCTGGTGTGTTCCCAGGCCTTGTATGATGTATCCTCCTCCCTCAAAAACAGCATAAATAATTAAAGGGAAATAGAGCAAAGACTTAACTCTGGGCTATAATCCTGCTCCTTGCATGCCTGTGTTCACGGGTGTACAGTGGTACTCAGCTGTTTCCATGGACCATTTACAAGCTCAAGTCTCCTAACACAAAATTGAGATCTCACTTTGAAGCACTTCCATCTTTTTGTTGGATCTAGATCTTCACTGCAATACTTTGGGCTTGAAATCACTGAGAAAACTGAGAGTACCTGCACATGTACAGGAGCTGGGGACACGAACTGTCAAAGAGGCACAACAAGAACACCAGGGCTGACAGTTCTTTGACTGATTCACTATGTAAAAATAAACACAGGAGTGAGCCACATTCTGTTTTCTGCAAAGCAGAAACTACATAAATGCAAGAGAGGAGCTGAACCACTGCCTGCTGTGTGCACTGAGTTGGGCTGCCCACGCTGGGTCTCTGTCTGACACCCGTATTCTCTCCATGTATTACATAAGTTGTCCCCCTAAACGACATCCTATTTTGAATTAAACTGTGGATAAAGGCCAGTACTCCCCAAAGCAAACTTCAACTATTACCTTCTTGCAGAAGCTGCTCTCTTTCTCTCTTAGTGACTACAGAAGGCACCTAGGAAGATTGGCTTCTCTTAGTTACAGCCTCTTATTTGCAGAACAGGAGCGTGTTAAACGGGACAAAGACCTCCAAACATCTTATCTATCCCTTTCAATGGGGAACTTCATCCTGTTAGGAAAGCTGACCAACCCAGGGGACTAACTGCACTGAAACAGGCATCAATGCACCTTCATGTATCACACTGTAACAGAGGTGATCTCAGAGTTTCTTTGTCAACCTGCCATCCTCGCTCCTGCAGCCAAACTCTGCGGATACCAGGAGCAGCTGTCAGCCATCCCACTTTCACATACCTCACATTCAAGTCAACACCCTAAAATTAGCTGCTGTGGCAATTCTTCCTCTTCTTCCCATCCACCCAGCTTTGGGGTACCTGCTGTGTGTTGCAGTTATACAGTGGACCAGTTCTTTCCCCACTGTAAATGGGTCTGAGTAACTCTTGTTTGCTAGGGGCTAAGAACCAGGCAGTGTTTAAGGGTCACTTTTGCAAATCAAAGTTACTGAAAATTAAGCTTAAACTTGAAAGCTCACCCTGTGTATACATCACAACACACAAATTGTAACAGATGTACATGGAACTGTAAATGCAGAGAGACAGAAGGACTGTGGTTTGTATATTCAGCCTATTTTTTCCTTGCTCTTCTCTGGTTTCTCATTGCTCCAATTTTGCTCACAGCAGAAAAGCTCAGCAGTAGAAAGCCACACCACAGCACTTCTATACCTGGGCATCACCCAGACCCTCACATAAAAATGAACATTTTCCAATGCTTTTCTTACCAGCATTGTGATCATTAAATCTAAAGAAACCCCCCAGTTTGCTACTTAATTTCTTTGTCACCATTACTCAAAACACAAATTCTTCTCTACTTCTCTCTCACAGCTTTGCTTTTCCACCGACTGATGTGATTTACTCACCGGTGCAGCACCAGGAAGAGGTTTTCCATTGATTTTATGTAAACACTTCTCTGCAGTAGCCAGATCTGCAAATTCTACAAAGCAATAGCCTGCAGGAATTCTGAACACAGACAGAGGACAGGAGAGAAAAAAGATTTCAGACTGAAAACGTTGGAGGAAGAAATATTATATTTTCAGATAACTGGTAGAAAGTTTGCTCCAGTAGCAACACATGGAGGATCTCTTTGTCCAAGTATAAATGTCAGCTACCAAACAGACCCTGGTACAGTAATGCTGGATCTTCACTGATAGCTCCTACTTACCAATAAGTCACGTCAACATAAGAACACAGAAAATACTTTTGCTCACAATTATTCCACTTTCACTGACCATAAATATTCCCACCCAAGTTTGAGAGACTGAAAAAATGAAATGACAACACAAGAACACAAAAATACTTCATCTTGTTTACAGTCACTGATTGCAAATGCACTCCAAAGGTCCCCTTAGGGCTCTTTCTAAGTGAGGCCTCCCACCTCTGCTAGCATCACGTAGCTGTGCTGTTCCAACAATTAACAGACTTGTCACTGAAGCCCCCTGCCCTGAATCTGTATCCCCAGATGGACTGCATGCATGTGCGTGCTGCTCTGAAGGAGTGCTGGAGCACTGCAGGATGGTTCACTGAGAGCAAGGTCAGAGAGTCAGCAACTGTCCTCTCCACTGCTGTCATCAATACGCCCGTATGGTTGGCAGCAATGGTGAAAAGCTGAAAGGGAAAACCGCTCTGATATGGACAGCCCCACCGTGATGCCATGTAAACTGCACACAGTTCAACCCCCCAAAGCACAGCGATGCAGCAGTAGAATTAATTGAGAACAAGTATGAACAGTTACCCTGTCAACCTGTTTCGAATGATTTTTACACTCAGTACAAGCTCTCCCATGGTGGCAAAGGCTCTTGAAACAAAGTTTTCATCCATGTACGGCTCCAGCTACAAAAGCAAAAGCATCAGTTAGATCAGAGCATCCACAAAAAGGAGCATATTTGTGTCAATGTCCCCCTAAGCAGTTAAAACATTATTGAGAAGTATTTTACCCTTGCGCTTCAAAAAGAAGGTTCATTTAAGAGGGTCGATGCCACTCAAAATCAGCAGGCATGCATGAACCAGGCTCAACAGTCTGCAAAGTGGAACCCAAGAGACAGCATGAATTTCAGAGAATGGAGAGCTTCCACAGAAGGACAAAAGCCACTCAGAGACATACAGCAACAAACTGAGCACTCGCTATGCAGGAGCAGGGGGGAAGGTGATGGTAAGCTGCTTCTCTGTAAGCAAACAGAGATCGGGCCAGCAATAACAGCATGTGGGTGCAGCACAGCCCCAGGTGGATGGATGGATGTTGTGCTTCAGCCTCCATCAAGCTGAGGTAGGGGGCTGCTTGATGGAGGCTGAAGCACAAGGAGGAGCAGCCGTGACTGCCTCATATAACCATGGAGTTACACGGGGCAGCACTGGCAGGGAAGACTTCCAGCCCCATCCTGCAGCAAGGCGTGCTGACTGTGCTGCAGTGTGCATGTGAGAAACAGCACTGTGAGTGTTGAGGTGCATGTGGAGTGCTGTGTGCATGAAGGCACTGCAGAGCGGGTGTCAGCGTGGTGTAGTGGCTGAAAAGAATGAAACGGTGCCGCAACTGGGCCTGAATACGTGGTGAAGGTGGTGAGACAGACAGCCCTGCAGTCCCTCTTAAAGCTTGTAGTCATCACCCTACGGTGTTGTCATCGGGAACCAGGTGTCTTCTCCACTTGTGCGTGTGACAGAGCAACCACACACACTGCACTTGTGTGCAAAAGGAGGCAGAGGAGTGCCAAGCAGCAGGAGGCAGCTCTGCACAGGGCAATCCTGTGGTATGTGCGCCCATGAGAGACAGATTCATAAAAGCAACAGGCGACGGCTGCCGGGACAAAAGAAGTAAAGTCCTCGCAGTGGAGAGGCTGCATTTAACCCTCCGTGTGGCTGAGTGTGGAGGCATCGTGAGCGCCAGCCCGAGCGCCTCAGTGCGAGACCGGTTGTGAGCACACAGCTTGCGATCGTGTGAGAGCCCAGGAGCGCCTGGGAGTGGAAGCGTGAGCAGCGAACGCAGGCGGCAGGGGTGTAAACGGCACAGGTGGGACTGCGAGCACAGCCGTACGGGTCTGTGAGTGTGACAGCCCGCGGGGAAGCGCTCAGCTGCGAGCGTGGCAGTCAGCGTGCAACGGTGCGAGCGTGCAAGAGTCACGTGACAGTGCGCGCGTGCAAATGCTCACGTGACGGTCAGTGTGAGAGCGTGAGCGCCGGCGGACCAGCGCGCGTGTCAGCGCGTGTCGGTGTCACTCACAGCACGAGCGTCTCTCGGCTGTTCGGAGCCGCCAGTCACCCCGCAGCGCCCTCAGCCTTCCGGCGCCGGATCCCCCAGCAGCTCCCTCAGCCCCGCCGGTGACCTCAGCCCACACCGCCCCGCTGTCCGTCGCACAACACCCCGCGCGGGTCCCGGCCGGACACTCACGTCCCCCATCCATAGGCTGGCGGCCATACTGCTTTCGCAGAACCGAGGAGGATTCAGCGGGGCCGCGGTTTCGCCTCCCGGCTCGGCTCGGAGCCGACTGACGCCGGGCGCGCGGCCCGCTCCCACCGCCCCGCTGCCCCCGCCGCCTCCTCCGCGGCGCCCGTCGGGCGGAGAGAGCGGCGCCCCCGCCGCCACGGGAGCACGGGGCGGAGACAGCGCCCCCTGCCGGCAGGAGGAGCGAGGGCGGGCTGAGGGATGGGGGGGAGCGGAGCTCTGTGAGGAGGGTTGGGGCTGTTTGGGGGGGGGGGTTGCGGCTGCGGGAGGAGGCGGGGAGCTTTGGGATGAGGGCTTGGGGCTCCAGCGGGAGCGAGAGGATGTGTTGGGGCTCTGTGAGGAGGGTTTGGGTCTCCAGGAGGTGTTTTGGGGCTGTGAGGAAGGTTTACGACTCCATGAGGGCGATTTTGGAGCTCCGGGGGAAAGTTTGAGGCATCTGATCCCACGACATGGGATTGCCTTAAAAATTGTGTGGCTTTTAAAGGAAGCAAAGGATTACTTCATATGACAGCGCACTGGACCTTGCGGTGCAGAAATATGGAAACTCTGAGTATCTCGTAATTTGGTGTAGTGAAGAGGTAACATTGCTTCCACTGTGCTGCCTTTGGGTTCTGACTCGTGGGTTCGGGTGTCGTGTAACCTTCCCTCTTCTCCAGTTTGTTCCGTGGGCTCTTCAATGTCAAGGACGGCAGTTCTTGGAGCAAACAGGGCCCCTTGTTACAGCGGAGCACAGAAATGCACCTGGAGGACGGCGAGCTGCCATCTGCTCAGCATTTCAGTGCCGCCAAACACAGCAGTTCTGTTTGCAGGGCCTTTCTGTGAGCCCTGTACCCCCCGACAGAAACACGGGGCACAGCTGCTAAAGCTGGTTCTGCAGTTACTGCAGCATGCCATAAATCGAGCAGATGATGACAGGGACAACCCCAGCCCTCGGTGCTCTTGCATTTGTGGCTTCTGCATCTCGGCAGATGTTGCTCTGCCGCTTGCAGGCCGTCAGAGGGCAGCAGAAGGCTGCGGGTTGTTGGCTGGAGCTTCTCTATTCTTGCAACTGGGCATCCTTAAGCCTGCTGTGAGCAGCACAGGACAGGAGAGCTCGTCCTCTGAACTCCTCGTGAAGCAACGTGTGAACGTTCACTTAAACCTTGCCCTGGAGCATCGCCATGCTAGAATAACGTGTGAAACCGAGCAGGAATGGAAAGAAATGTTAATCACGCTGTTTTTCCCTGCAGATGAACGTTGACTATCACTGCGTTTTTGCAGGGTGCTGGGAAAATCCTTGATCTTCGTACTGGGTACAGACTGCATTTCTGCCCCCATTCTGCAGTATGGCCAGGATTGAGTAGTCCAGAATATTGCCTCATCAGAAATTAGGAGCGTGTAAGAGTTGTGAGATTAAAAACATGCTTACAGCTACATCTGTTTGCTCCCCTTGGGCATCCTCAGGTCACGTTTCCAAACTCTTTCCTACAATGTTGCAAAATATGGCATAAAATCAAGACAGACAGCAAGACCCACCACTGTTAAACTGTAGGATGAAGTTGTCAAGTGGCACTTTTTGTGCCTAGATGTCACTGGCAACCTGACCTCTTAGGTACTCATCCTCTTTGGAGTCCCTGCTGAGGCTGCCCTTCAGGGTGGTTGTTTTTCCAGCATGGCATTTCATGCACTGCGTAGCACTGAGCTCTGCTTCACTCAACTCAAGAAGCTGTTGCTCATTCTGTCCTTAACTTACAGCTACTCAAAGTGAATCGTTTGTTCTTTGTCACTTGCTGAAGTGAGTCCAGTATCTCTAATAACTCCTTTCCGTTTTTTCCTTCCAGCTGAGTAATAGAGAACTTGCTTTCTTTTTGACTGTCCTGGGATAATCCATGGAGATGGATATTGAGCAATAAAAATGCAGGAGGAAGCCAGGGTCATATGCTTGTGTTGGAGTCGGAGAAGGTAAGAATGTTATATTCTGTCCTATATCCTTGTGACAGAGCAAAAACACTGGAAGGAGAATATTGAAAAACAGTTTGTTCCCCTTAAAAGTTTGTGGATTGTCAAAGAAGGAGCAGCTTGTAACAGAAGGACGTGGGGACTCGTCTGCCTTCTGCGTGGATATCAGCGGCTGAAACATCCTGTCCCCTCTGCTGGCACAGACACACCGTGATATCCTGCTCTGAGAGCTTGATCCTGAAAATTGCTGGGTAAATTCTGATTGCCATTCCCTGTAATCACTGCAGGTATCGTCCTGAGCCCCCAGAGCCCTGGGCAGTGCTGCATTCTGCTTCCCAGCCGGGCACTCCAGCAGTTCAGCTTGTTGAAGGGCCCAATGCCATCGGTCTCACAGCTCCTTCACCTCTCAGGACCTTCAGCTGCGTTTAATGTCCCCTCAGTGCCTCTATAAGTGGTCCCAGCTCTTAAAATTAAAGGGTTTGAGCCTGAGAATCTGGCCTGAGAGACTTTAATTTGGATCTGCTACTTTTAGCTTGAGTTTGAAACTGACTCGCATCGTTTATCAGCCTCTGGTGCTACAATTTACTGTGCTAGAGCTTCCTTTGCTGGGCTCACAGGCTCCAAGTCCATCCTCACCTTTAGGCAACTGCAGCCAATGGGCTGAGATCATGAATGAAGTTGGACAGGGATAGTTAAGGTAATGAAGGAAATTAAAAAAAATACATAAAGCCAAAGCTTGGAATGGCTTCTGAGATTCTGAATGTCCTTTTAGTCATTCAGGAGAAAATATGCAGTGAAATCTGTTCTCCACTCTTGCACAAGATAGCATGTCTTAAGCTTCGTTCAAGCACATTTTTTGTATAAACACAACACAGCTTCAAGTGATAAACAGATCTGGGAGATTTTTTGCCCATCAAATATTTACAAATGATTGTAGGCTTGCATACATCTGCTTTGCAGCCACAGCCACAGCAGCGATTACTGCACGTGCTTGGAGGAGCCACCCTTCACATTAAAACTTCTTCACCATTCTTCACAACTATGGAGAAGCTCCATGAAGCTCCTTCCCACAAAGGCAACGATGCACCTCTGTGGGCAAAGTGTCCGAAATGCATTTTATCCCCATTTGGCTGATTCCTGTATTGCAGTTGGTAACACGAGGTACCATTCCAACAGTATGACTGCGTCAAAACAAGGCACTATCATCTTTGCCAATGCAGACAGGGATAATTAGACCAGTGCTGAAAAGTCATAGGTTTTGGTTGTTGCTTTGGATATAAACCAAGCAATGTGACCATTTTTTGTTCTTGAAAGCATTGTTTCTCAGAAATAAGGCCTCCAGAATTTGAGTTCTTCATTGTGGGAAGCATCCTGAGGCTGGCTGGAGGTGCCGTGTTTAGCCATAGAAACAACAGAATGAAAAATACTGCAGTGTATTTATAGCAAGAAGGATGATTTATGGGGTAACGATGGTTGTAGTGCTTCTAGCTTAGGAACTCTGTATGGAACAGAGTCATTAAATGTTTGGCCTTTAAAAAGAGGGGAAAAAAAAAGAAGCCCACAACAACAACAAAAACCCCAGATGAATAATGGAAAACAAATCCCCTCTCTGGTGAAAAGCCAAACCTGTGTTTTGAAAATCAAATGCTTTTTTTGGGTTAAGCAGTGAAAAAAAACGGACTTGATCTTTGCAGCAGCTTGGATTTATTATTGGAACCAGTTGGCTGTGCCATAGAAGAGAGGAATGTTCTGGTAATTAGAGCAAGAAGCTGGGAGTCAGGAGCAGTAGGGTCTGTTTCTGGCTTAAGCACCAGCATGCTGTGTAGCCCTGGGAAGCATGCTGCCTCGTTTGTACCCTGGCTTTCCCACCTATAAAAGAAATTGTTCAACCTCCCAAATCGTGTGCACTGCTGAGGACCATCCTGCAGCACCCGGCGGTCTGTGCTGCTGCAGAACGGATCCGCACAAGCCTGAGCTTCAAATGCTTTGGAAAAATCCTGCCCTAAACCTTTACAAACCTGATTGCCCGGATTCCTAAATCCACGTGTGGGCCTCTAATTGAACACGGTGTGATTTCCAGAGGTTTGCTGATGAAATAGAACATGATGGGAACGACGTAGCTGTGAAAACAGCGCGATCATGGGACGTTTCCCCCCACCGGGCTCCTGCCATGAGCTTGGCCACTCCTGCAGCCCTCTGAGCCCCAGCAGCAGCGCATGAACCCACAGCCTGCAGGGTTTGTGCCCCATTGCAGCACTCGTGGGGGGCTGCCACGAAGGGGAGGGTGGGAAGTGGTCAGCAGGGCTGCTGTGTGCCATTCTGGGGGTCTCCAGGTGGCGTGAAGCACTGCTTGCTGTGCTGGAGGCAGCTGCTGTAGGGAAGCAGCAGTCAGAATGACTTTGGAGCTCCCCGCAGCTCCCCTAAGGCCCCGGATCTGATGCGGTGCGGCTCTCCCAGAGCTTCAGTTTCTAGACGGCCATCTGTCAGCATCGGGAGCCCTCAGTTTGGATGCTGCCCTGCTCAGTGAGCAGAAGGAACGCCACTGCCTCGGCTGCTGTCCCTCCCCAGGGCAGAGGAAATGTGCACTGACAGGGCAGGAAATTCTCGCCGGCCGCAAGGACCTGGAGCTTCGCCTCCCAGTTTCCTGTGAGCCTTACCCCGGTGTCAGGCCAGATGCTTCCAGATTATTAATAGCGGTAGTTACATTAACAGGTTTGTGTTTTTCTTCTTCTGTCAACGAAATTATTTCTTCATGGAAGACTTTCAGGTTGTTTTTATTCAAAGAGGTCGGGAAGGACCCAATAATTGCAGCACTGCGATCTGTGCAAGCTAACGAGCAGCCAAGCAGGGATTTTGCTTCGTGGAAGGCTCTCGGTCCACACAAACAGGCTCTGAAGTTCCTGTGCAAAACAAATAGCTGCAAACTGGGGCAGGCTCAGCATGGCAGAGGATTTTGTTCCACAGGTATTTCCACGCAGCAGCTGAGCTGCTTCCAGAGTGCAGCCACTTTCTCCATGCTAACGGCTCCAGCCTTTGCATTGCTCCCTTCAAGGGGCCGTGCAAGAAAGTGACCGTTTCCAAAGCACAACCTGTCCTTCTCTGGTGCGCCACATA